ATGTTCCATTCGTTATATAACGATTATGAGTCTATTACTTGATATTTGACACACACACACACACACACACGGGCGGGTGCAAGGGGGCGGCCTTCGGCCACCCCCCCGCACCCACACCGTCGCAGAGGTCTGCCCCGACAGTACTATCATAGCAACAGTACAATCGTAGAAGTCGTGTGCCCCTGTGCAGGGGGGGGGAAGTTACTTTACAAATAAAGTAGGTGCTTCCTATTTTCTAGATATTTACCATGGAAATCGTGTGCTCGTGCACAGGGGGGAGGGGGATGATAGTTGCTTCGCGTAGAAGATTTAACACATTTACATAGGGAGAGGGGGTGCAGAATAGTACTTAATATCATACACGCATACACTTCGCAACATTCAGTACTTTACAAACAAAGTAGGTGTTTCCCATTTTTGATTTTCTAGATATATACCGGAAAGACATATTATTGTATTATACGAAATTAGATTTTTAGGTCTAAATATCTCAGAAACTATAAGAGACCGCCGCCTAGTTGTTAAGGCAAAGTTGCTCAGAATCATGACCTTGACAACATATGTCAAGGTCAAGGTCTTCGGAGCTGGCTCCCCTATAGTGCATAATTACCAAGCTTTCTTCGTCTTCCTTACAATTTGCTGATAAAAAATGTTTTGACGTTATATTACAAGTTAATAGTGCTTTGAATGCTGTACTAAATAAGTATGGAGTAGGATTATTGTTTTGATGTCCGTGTCTTCTAATTCCACTGAAAAAATTTTCTACATGATCTTGATTACAGTATTTCAAATTGAGTGAAGTAAATCCGCATGTCTGAAGCATTTTCCATAAACACATTACACCTTTTATTGTTTGTCCCTAATTAATTAAGCATTTCGGTTTATTTCTCGTCAAAGACTTGTAGCTGTTTTTCTCGACAAATTCCATCTTATTTAGTTTATGTAATGCTTCTTGCCAAAACTTCAAATGTCCGCTATTTTGTTTGATAATACTACTGAGTCCTTGTTCACTATTTCCATTGAAGGAATCAAATAAGTCATCAAAAATGAATAATGCATCTCTTGTTGCAGCAGAATTTTTAGACAAAGCCATTGTTGCATTACTTGTTTGTATGATACCTGTAATAAAACGCTTTAGTAACGTATATTGTATTTTAACAAACTATAATATTCTGTTTACATAACATAATTTTTATATTTAAATACCATCTGTATTTAAAGAAAGTATCATATCAATAAAATCCGCTACGGTATGGCTTAAAACTTGTACTGCAAATTTTACTTTCATTTTTGGAATCAAGGAAGGAAAAATATGACTATCTGTTAATTTTTTCATTTTACGTCAATGTTGAAAACACTTTCAATCAATTTCGTAAGCAGTTATAATGTGATCCCAAGAGGCACATTGACTTTCACGTTCTGACAATCTTGCATCTTTATTCAAAAGTAAATGTTTATTTAACAAATTATATTTAACAAATTATTACGTACACCTTTTTGAAGATGTACATAATCGTATAAAGGTGCAATATATTCTCCTCCGACATAAAATGTATTTTCTATCGGAATTTCTAAAAAAAAATTTAATAAATAATATTAATACAATAGTACGTATTATAATTAATAAAGTTTATGAATGTGTGTGTGTGTGTGTGTGTGTGTGTATGCGTGCGCGTGTGCGTGTAACGCACTTACTGTTCTGTTTGAAATGTTGTGCACGTGTTTCCTGTATTAATAAGTTAATTGCTGCAATGTTAGGCCCTCCTTGGTCGCAAACGGTAGCTTTTGGTTTAAAACCACATGTTTGCAGATAAATTAACCATTCCTTTACACATTTTGAAAGTTGGATAGATGAGGTTGCACTATTACAGAAACCATAACCAATAGGCATTTTCTGACCAGATGATAAAGATCTTATATAAAATACAATGGCATGATCTGCAAATCTTCTTGTTCGCGTTATTCCCCAATCTTCATATCCAATGATTTTGTCGTTTTTAACATCGTATGTAAGAGAGGGTTTAATAGCCATCTCATCCCAAGCAAGTATGATATTTAAATCTTTCGGATCCATCTTTTTAGCGTTTAATGTAAGATATTGTAAAATAATGTTGCTGCACCCAGTAACAATAGGAATGCGATTTAATTGTGTATTCAAAGTGGTATAAGAAGGACATAATAGGAATTCGGATAGGAATTTGTAACAACGACGGGATCTACGATAAATGCTCAAGCAAAATATTTTATCCTTTTTTATATATCGTCTTGCCTATATAAAAATAATTGTATAAATGTATATAAATCATTAAATATAAATATAAGTAATTGAATTTCGCTCGTTTTATGCAAAATAGAAAGAAATTATAAATCGAACAGTAATGCATACTACCTGATACTATATTTCAAATACAAAGAATAAAAATTTATATTTCAATAATATGATTTTATTATTCAAACACACATATAAGTCGATCAATTTTATTATTTAAATTTTAATATAAACTTTATTTTCAAAATGTATAAACACGTCATTTAAATATTATACTGATATATAATATAATATATCAATATATTTGTGTATATAATAATGTGACTTATGTAAAGGTAACTTCATATAAATATATGTACATATAAATGCATGTAACAGTAACTTGAATGAGCAAATACTAAACAATATAATATTAAAATATAATAATAACATAATTGAAGCTTAAGTGAAACAACGATTATTGGAATTTAAGGTAAAAAGATTATGTTACCTGTGGTGAGATGTCATTATTTCTCATCATCATATTGATGAAGTTTTCTCGTATTTTTGTAGTTCTATCCACTCGGTCTTTATATTTTCCCCTATTTAATACTATTTTCTCAATTTTGTTTTTTAGTTTCATTCTGTTTATAGCCCTTTTCATACGTCTCTTTTGCGCTTTCAATTTTATATTATTGTCATAAAATGTTTGTGCTGTTGGAGACAAATTCATCCTCCGTGTTATTTTTGCCAGATTAGAACTTCTTGCTTGTGAATTTTGGTGCGTTTTAAAAAGTCGGATATTTTGTTTTAGTTCTTGTATTTGATTACAATGTTGTATTTGTATTTGGGATAATTTTTCTATACTTGTTTGCAACTGCATGAAACTTTCTTGTTGAGACAATCTTTCTATGTTTAGTTGCAGCTGAGTGACATTCTCGTGCTGTTCTTGTTGTTGAGACAATCTTTCTATGTCTAATTGCACCTGTGCAACATTCTCGTGCTGTTCTTGTTGTTGAGACAATCTTTCTAAGTTTAATTGCACCTGGGCAACATTCTCGTGCTGTTCTTGTTGTTGAGACAATCTTTCTAAGTTTAATTGCACCTGGGCAACATTCTCGTGCTGTTCTTGTTGTTGAGACAATCTTTCTAAGTTTAATTGCACCTGGGCAACATTCTCGTGCTGTTCTTGTTGTTGAGACAATCTTTCTAAGTTTAATTGCACCTGGGCAACATTCTCGTGCTGTTCTTGTTGTTGAGACAATCTTTCTAAGTTTAATTGCACCTGGGCAACATTCTCGTGCTGTTCTTGTTGTTGAGACAATCTTTCTAAGTTTAATTGCACCTGGGCAACATTCTCGTGCTGTTCTTGTTGTTGAGACAATCTTTCTAAGTTTAATTGCACCTGGGCAACATTCTCGTGCTGTTCTTGTTGTTGAGACAATCTTTCTATGTCTAATTGCACCTGTGCAGCATTCTCGTGCTGTTTCTCTTGTTGTCGAGACAATCTTTCTATGTTTAATTGCACCTGTGCAACATTCTCATGTTGTTTCTCTTGTTGTTCAGACAAGTTTTCTATGTCTATATGCATCTGAGCTACATTCTCTTGCTGTTTCTCTTCTTGTTCAGACAAGTTTTTTATGTCTATATGCATCTGAGCAACATTTTCTTGCTGTTTCTCTTCTTGTTCAGACAAGTTTTCTATATCTATTTGCATCTGAGTGACATTCTCCTGCTGTTTCTCTTGTTCAGATAATTCTATGTTCATTTGCATCTGTGCGACATTCCGTTGTAAGTCAACAGTAAATGTTTCATGATGTTGCAATACTTTCTTTTTCTGACTTTTTGTAATATTGTTTATTTGTGTTGTATCTGTTGTCATAAAGGGAACAGCAGTCCGAATTAATCTTCGAAGCTTAGAACTACCAATATAATCACTTTCCTTAAAATGTTTATAACATACTCGCAGTTTATTAATTTCATTTTCTTTGTAGGGTTTCAAAATTAAACTTTTTATCCATTTTTCACGAATCTGTGTATTTATCGGGAAAATATGAGATGGCATATTACCCGTCGATGTACAGTTGAGCACACCACACGCTCTTACCATTTTATTTATAATGCTCTCACTTTTCTTCTTTTTCTTCTTTATATGTAATTCGTCGACAATATCAAAAGCGATTTCGGCTGATTTCGGCCAATATGAATAACAGCATGAAAACCTAAAAAATACGAAATAAATACAGAAATACGAAAAATCGAAGACAAAATGAGAACCAATGTCTTCACTGTAGGTTTAAAATGCGAAGATGCGCCAGTGGAAGCTTAAAAATTTAAGAATCTAGTCACTTACATTGATTTATGAGTTAACGGTGTTAATTTAACCTCTTCTTTGGAATCTGGTAATCATCTGATCGTCTTCATACATTTTTAATATGGCGGATCACTCACACCACCACTCACACGACTCACACTGCAAAGTTTAGTTCCGTCCGTGAACCCTGTCACTCAGTGAGGGCGCTGCAAACCGTGGTACATCGAGAATAATGGGAGTTTGTAACCCCTGAGGTATCCTCGCGACTTCCGAATGCACCGACATCGACAAGTTAGCAAAAATGGCCGACAAAATAGCCGAAACTACGAGCGACTCCGCGCAGTGCGCCGCCGCGTCAGTGGAAAATTCTAAACCGTCCGATCTCGAAAGTAAAATCGATCGACTTGCCGCAGATTTAGCAGCCCTTACGGCTCAAGTCAAGCGATCGGGCAGATCAAAGACAAAATCCGAGGACGGTAAAACAAAACGCAAACGTTCTAAAAGCAGGCAGTTCAACGTTTGCTGGCCGCACCGTACGTTCGGTGATCAGGCCCGTGCCTGCAAGGGCACCGAAGAATCCCCGTGCTCCTGGCCAAAACCGAAGGCCATTACTGACGGCAAGACGGGGGAATAGGATCGTCTGTCGCTTCCGAGGCAGTGTTGGCAGACGCAGACTCTTCCGTTCGCCTCCATATACGCGATCGTGTCACAGGGGAATTATTTTTAATAGACACGGGCGCGGAAATTTCTTTACTTCCCTGCAATAAAATTAAAAACAAAACGCCGAGCAATTTTAAGTTATTCGCGGCAAATAATACGCGTATCGATATGTACGGAGAAGCATTTCGTACTTTGCATCTCGGCATACGTCCACTTACGTGGAATTTTTGCGTAGCTTCAGTTCCTTACCCGATTATCGGGGCAGATTTGATCTCGCATTACGGTCTTCTTCCGGATCTTAAGGGTCGCAGACTCATTGACCCGCGATACAACGCGTTCACTTCAGGCATTGTTAAAGTAGTATCACCACTGGCTATCAGCACAGTCAATCCTGTTACGAAGTTCGCGCATATTCTTAATGAATTTCCGGAAATTAAAGGCATTGAGCAAGTAATTTGCAACAACAGTAGCGATGTGTGTCATCACATTATCACCACCGGTCCGCCAGTAGCTGAGCGCCCGCGTCGATTAAGTCCGGATAAATTAAAAGCTGCAAAAGCAGAATTCAAACGACTAGTCGAAATCGGTGTGTGTAGACCATCTAGTAGTCCGTGGGCTAGTCCCATTCATATGGTTCTTAAAAAAAATGATTCGTGGAGGATCTGCAGCGATTATCGTCGTCTTAACGCAATAACTGTGCCGGACAAATTCCCCGTACCGCACTTGCACGACTGTTCCTCCAACCTTCATGGAAAAACTATATTTACCAAGCTTGACCTACATCAAGCATACAACCAAATACCAATCGCGACAGAAGACATTCCGAAAACTGCGGTCATCACGCCCTTCGGCCTCTTTGAATACAAATTTATGGCTTATGGTCTTAGAAATGCCAGCCAAACTTTTCAACGTCAAATCTTCCGCGCACTTGGTGATTTGGAATTTGTGTTTGCATTTATCGACGACATTCTCATAGCTTCGTCAACTCCCGAGGAGCATGAAACTCATTTACGCATCGTGTTTCAGCGATTAAAAGAATTTAATTTGCGTCTCAACGTCGATAAATGTTAATTCGACGAAAAGGAACTAGAATTTCTCATATTTCTCATAAATAGTGAATGGTGCAAACCGACGCTCAATAAAATTCAGGCTATTCTAAAATTTCCTAAGCCAAATACGGTCGTCGAATTACGTCGTTTCCTCGGCCTTATCAATTTTTATCGTAAATTATTACCTAACGCAGCCTCTGACCAAGCACCATTAAATGAATATCTTCGCGATTCGCGCAAAAATGACAAGCGGTCAATTGTGTGGACTTCGATGAGTGAGGAAGCATTCAACAAATGTAAAAATAATCTAGCTAACGAGTCAATGCTTTCTCATCCCTCGGTCATGGCCGAAACTCGTTTAGTTTGTGACGCATCCAATTTTGCAATGGGAGCCGTTCTCGAGCAGCGACTTGATAATATGTGAAAACCACTCGCCTTCTTTTCGCGCAAGTTTAGCCCGACACAACTTAATTATAGCGCATATGATCGTGAGTTAACCGCAATTTTCTAAGTATTAAAATACTTCCAATTTTTCTTAGAAGGTCGCGAATTCAAAATTATAACAGATCATAAGCCTCTCATATATGCATTCTTGCAACGTTCAGAAAAAGCGTCACCGCGTCAACAAAGACAACTCTCGTTTATCTCACAATTAACAACATGTATTGAATACCTCCCGGGTAACGACAACGTCGTAGCAGACTCCTTGTCTCGCATTGAAGCCTTACGCTTGCCTGTTGAAATCGAATTAAACGAGCTCGCAGAACAGCAAGAAAAAGACGAGGAACTCCAAGTTATTCGCGAAACGCCCAATTTTCCATTAACAATGAAACGTATTCAGTGGGGCCCGTCTCATACCACGCTTTATTGCGAGATGACCGGTGAGGCAATTCGTCCGTATATTCCCGCGTCTCTACGCGAACAAGTATTTCATATGTTCCACGATGCAGCGCATCCCGGTTCAAAAGTTACAGACCGTATTATTTGTCAGCGTTACGTATGGCCTAACATGCACCGCGACATTGCAAAATGGTGCAAAAATTACGTGGACTGCCAACAGTCTAAAATTTCACGTCATGTACGATTAATGCCAGAAAAATTTGTAGCGCCTGACGGACGCTTTGAGCATGTGCACATGGATTTAATAGGTCCCTTACCAGAATCAGACCAGTATAAATATTGTGTAACGATCATCGATCGATTTTCCCGTTGGCCCGTAGCAGTCCCAGTCAAAGACATTGAAGCCGTGAATGTTGCGCGTGCATTCTACGATAATTGGATTACAAATTTTGGGGCGCCTAAACCTTGACAACCGACCAAAGCAGCCAATTCGAGTCTCAGCTTTTCACCACGCTCCTGCAATTAATAGGCTGTCAGCGGATTCGTACTACTGCGTACCATCCTTCCTCTAATGGCATCATTGAGCGATGGCACAGAAGCTTCAAAGCTGCAATTATGTGTCACGCGAACGATAAATGGACACGTGTGCTTTCGACTATTCTATTAGGTCTGCGCACTCATGTTCGTCTTGATACCGACGCATCACCCGCGGAATTCGTATACGGAACAACACTTCGTGTACCTGGTGAATTCATACTGCCAGACTACTTTACTTCAAATCCGCACATTTTTATAGAAGAATTTCGTGAGTACATGCGTAATGTAAAACCAGTGCCCGTCGACCATCGACACAAAAAACACGCATTTCTCTTCAAAGATTAGTATTCGTGTACTCTTCTTCTTCTTCTTCTTTTATTGGCCCCGCAGCCTAAACGGACTGGTACTGGGCCACTGAGGTCCTCGAAAAATGTAAATAATGTCAAAATTCAGTATACAAGGCACCGGCAGCCTCGAAACCGGGCAAAAATGCATGAGTGATGCAATAACGAATAAAAATGGCGCGCCCCCCCAAACACTGGACGCCTGTGGCTACGACGCCCGTAACACGTTCTCCGCACCGCACGGCCACGCGCCCAGACGAGTGAGAGGACTCTCAAAGTCAGAAATCCAAGGCACAGTCGAAGCCGGCAACACTTTTCAAAAATATTGGTCGAGGCGCAATATATCTCGAGACGGGGCGAAACACGTCCGTCCCGCTCGAGTGTCCTCACGAGACTTAGTATTCGTGTACTCATGTTTTCCTTCGAGTTGGACATGTTAAAAAAGCGTTAGAACGTCCATACACCGGTCCTCACAAAATTATCGAGCGAATTTCCGACTGTGTCTTCGACATAGATGTAAATGGCGAAAAACGCAGCGTATCCGTCGAAAATCTTAAACCAGCTCATTTTGTACGCGACGACTTAAGTGACATAGCTCCAGAATCAGAGCAACCATCCAGCACACCTAATAATCTACGTTCAACACTAAAAACGTACGCACGTCCTAAAAAAGTCATGTTCACCACTGAATGTAAAAAGTAGAGCAACTCCTTCTTATAACATTAATTTTAAGCTACTTATGTAAATATTATTTTATATTCGTTGTCACTCGGGGGGGAGTATGTGGGGATTGGCAGCTCAGATCTCCCTAGCGTGTAGAGAAAGCGTATCCTAGGGGATCTTTCATGGCATCAGTTACCAGCAGCGTAACTAAGGCGCGTTATTTTAGAACAACTAGAGCGTCCATTGTAGTAGGACTTACTTCGTGTGTGTCTCTTAATAAAGTATCTCTTACCAGTTAATCTTGGTCGTATCAATAACCTTGCATTATTACATTGCTGTAGTGTGGACAGTTAAGCACAGGCAGTAATATCTAGCCTAATTCCCACAATTATACAGTACTATGCGCCATCTAGGCGAATATACGAGAATGAATTATACAGGGCCTGAATTCGCATATAGGAGTTTGCCATGCATGGTCTGCTGAACGTAGCCATTGTGTATTCCATAGTATATGATTTCTGATAGGTTGAAATTCTTAGGCCGGAATCAGACTACGTATTGAAAACTGAAATTGAAGATTAAAAATTGAAATATTAGAGACCCTCTAATCAGAGTCGCGAAATAACGTCAATAAGGTTAGGTCGGCGATACCATTTTTCAGCAAAAACCGGAAGTAGCGATTATAGTTGATTATAGTACATTG